ACATAATAACTAAGAAAGTTACATGAAGGCTATGTTAACCAGTTTGATGAAAGTGTCTTGGATTGTGTGTGAAAACACACTGTACCCCCAAAGTGCATCAATGTACACAGTTACCATTCAATAAAAAAAAAAGAAAGAAAGAAAAAAAACTCATTTTCAAGTCTTTAATTTAGTCCTTGCCCTTTTTTCCAGGAGAGTGGAATTCGTGACCTGATACCAGGTTCTGTCATTGATGCCACATTGTTCAATCCTTGTGGGTATTCAATGAATGGAATGAAATCGGATGTAAGTAGTTAATATTTTGCTTCATTAGTCATTTATATATTTAAATGTACCCTTTACATCATTAACAGAAAACTTATTTCTCTAAGGGAACTTATTGGACTATTCACATCACTCCAGAACCAGAATTTTCTTATGTTAGCTTTGAAACAAACTTAAGTCAGACCTCCTATGATGACCTGATCAGGAAAGTTGTGGAAGTCTTCAAGCCAGGAAAATTTGTGACCACCTTGTTTGTTAATCAGGTAATGTAGTTTCTTACTGGCACTAAAATCTTAAAATAAGATCGTGAGGTGAACCATAAGATGCATTCTAAGATAGCACATATTACTAGTTGGATATCCATACATAATACTAGTTGAGATTACTAGTAGATGAAGAGGTTTATGTGTTTATTGTTCTATCAGTCCTTGTTTATATCTTACCCAGTTGAGGAGCTCCTTTTGTGTCAGGCCTAGTGTGAGACCGTAAGATGCCCAGCTCCATCCACCACAGAAGAAGGTGCTTAAATATAGTTTCATTAAGATAAATAGATCTGGCTCAGTGCCTGTAGCTCAAGTGGCTAAGGTGCTGGCCAGATACACCAGAGCTGGAGGGTTCAAATCTGGCCTGGGCCTGCCCAACAGTGACAACCAGAAAATAGCTGGGCATTGGTAGGCACCTGTAGTCCCAGCTACTTGGGAGGCTGAGGCAAGAGAATCACTTTAATCCAGGAGTTGGAGGTGGTTGTGAGCTGTGATGCCTTGGCACTCTACCCAGGGCCATAGCTTGAAGTTCTGTCTCAAAAAAAAAAAAAAAAAAAAAAAAAAGATAAATAGGTCTGACTCACCACCTGTACGCAGCACAGTGGTTCTGGTGCTAGCCATATACACCAAGGGTGGCTGGGTTCAAACCTAGCCCAGGCCAGTTAAAAAACAATGACAACTGCAATAAAAAATAGCCGGGCATTGTGGCAAGCACCTGTAGTCCCAGCTATTTGGTAGGCTAAGGCAAGAGAATCACTTAAACCCAAGAGTTGGAAGTTGCTGTGATGCCATGGCACTCTACTGAGTGCTGAACATAGTGAGACTCTGTCTCCAAAAAAAAAAAGAAAATAGCTTTATTTGTTATTGTTTAACTATTTCTTTGAAACTACTTCTGCAGAGTGGAAGCACTAATAATAATTATTCAAATTTTTTCCCCCAGAGTTCTAAGTGTCGCACAGTGCTTTCTTCACCCCAGAAGATTGAAGGCTTTAAACGTCTTGATTGTCAGAGTGCTATGTTCAATGATTACAATTTTGTTTTTACCAGTTTTGCTAAGAAGCAGCAACAACAGCAGAGTTGATTAAGAAAAATGAAGAAAAAACGCAAAAAGAGAACACATGTAGAAGGTGGTGGCTGCTTTCTAGATGTTAATACTGGGGGCCATGCTTTCCATAACCACCACCTTGTAGTTGCAGAAAGCCCTAGATGTAATGATAGTGTAATCATTTTGAATTGTATGCATTATTATATCAAAGAGTTAGATATCTTCTTGCATGAATACTCTCTTCTGTGTTTAGGTATTCTATGCCACTCTTGCTGTGAAATTGAAGTGCATGTAGAAAAAACCTTTTACTATATGAAACTTTACAACACTTATGAAAACAATTCAATTTGGTTTATGCACAGTGTAATATTTCTCCAGGTATCCTCCAAAATTCCCCACAGACAAGGCTTTCGTCCTCATTAGGTGTTGGCCTCAGCCTAACCATCTGGGACTGTTCTTTTAAATTGCTGCCAGAATTTTACATCCAGTTACCTCCACTTTCTAGAACTTATTCTTTACTAATGTTACTGGGACAATTTCTACTTCATACAGGTGTTTTTTGCAATAGCAGTTATTAAAGTTTTTCTTCCACAAGTTGGGTCCTCTTAAAGTGATTCCAGTTACTTATTTTGCATATTACTATTTAAAAATTATTTATCTGTGCATTTATACTCCTATAATTGATTTCTTCCCTCACCATGGTGTCTCCCCAAGCCCTCCGAATAAAGCAATACATTGTCAACACTGTGGGTTTATATACAAATCTTATACCCCAGGTGGCGAAAAGGGGAGATAGTCCCTGGGCTTAATTTTCTTTTAAGGGGATGGGAATTTGGCCTCCTTTTTATTGATGCGGATTCTTTTGGATGACAGTCACAAAAATAAACTTCTCCAGTGCTGATCAGCAAGGAAGACACAGAGAATTGTAGGTGGAGATTAGGGTATATTGGGTGAACTGTGGAAATCATATGTAATTCTGTACTCAACAGGCAATGAGATTAGCCTTTACTTCACTTGCTAAGTAGTAAATAAAAGGGTTTTCATTACTAAGATGATTACCAAGAAAGTTTAGCATAAAGTTTATGTTAGATTCAGTAAGTCAGGTCAGCTTGGATCATTGATGTTAACTTTTACTTTAACAGCCATTTCCAATAATAGTATACTGTAAATTTTGGTTCAAAGCAAAATCAATGTCTCTTTCATTTTGTGACTTCAAGTTCTGTGACTTTGTGATGCATGTGAGTGTTCTGACTTCCTGTGTTCTCTGTTACCATGGAATTCACAGGATCAAATGAGCAACTGCCTAGAATGAGAATCATCCAGGTTATTCAGATAAACACCATGAAGCAGAATATATGAATGAGTGAATAAATAATAAAACATACTAAATTCTAAAATACTCAGTGGGAAATGACTAAAATAGAGGCTTTCAAGAGTCGGCATCTTTTAACTATATTTGCAAATACTGTGAGATGTAAGCAACTAAGCGAACAGCAAAGTTGACTAAATTTTATATTTCTTCTCAATATATTTTGATAATTACTGGATTGATACAGTGATGTTTTGTTCCTTCCGTATTTATAAATGAAACACCTTTTTTTAGTGTTTCTAAACATAAAATCTACTTGGTTTGAAATCAAGTGGTATGGAACACTTTTGACTTATTTTAAGCATGTTGATTGAAAGTTTCATTGAGGAAGTTTTCAATCAGTGTGATCAGTTTGATTCTGTAATGAGCATAGCACCTAATGTTTTTGGGTGTTCTGTTTTGAGGACCAATGCTCAAAGTAATTTTGTTCTTGAACAGTATCCCAATAGATCTGATTGTTGGCTTGAGGTCTGATTTTTTTTTTTTCTAACAGATTTAGGAATTCTAATTGAAAACCTGCACATTTGTGTGGAACAAAGCCTAGAAAAGAGAAAACTAGATTGAATAGTAATCTAAATTAATCTTCGTATGATAGAGGAGGGAAAGTTTTGGTGCCATAATTTCTCCCTTCATTGGTGTTGGACTTAAATCAGTTGAAATGTATTTCTGTACCACAATTTAAGCTTCAATAAAAGTTTAATTGTCTAGTGACATCAAGAAAGTTTTCTGTTGACCTATTTTTTTAGTAGTCTGTGTAAGCAAATACTATTTCTAAAGTTTTAAAAATAAAAATGTGCGAGTAGCGCCTGTGGCTCAGTGAGTAGGGTGCCGGTCCCATATAATATACTCTTCTATACTTTACTATTACTGTTAAGACTAAAGTAATCTATGAAGGTTTTATAAAATAGTTTATAATTTGGGCGGCACCTGTGGCTCAGTGGGTAGGGTGCCGACCCCATATACCGAGGGTGGCGGGTTCAAACCCTGCAACAAAAAAATAGCCGGGTGTTGTGGCAGGCACCTGTAGTCCCAGCTACTTGGGAGGCTGAGGCAAGAGAATCACCTAAACCCAGGAGTTGGAGGTTGCTATCACATGTATGATGCCACGGCACTCTACCGAGGATGATAAAGTAAGATTCTATCTCTATGGGGAAAAAAAATAAAAGATAAATGTGCATTTGTGTGTGTGGAGTTAGAGAAGTCCAGTTTGAAGGTGGAAGGTTCAGCCTTTATTAAATACCGAGGTTCTTAAAACATTGAGGCTGGGGCTATCAAACTGTAGGCTTATTTCATTTATAGTTAATAGTTCTGTTAAATTTATAAGCTTAATCATATATAACTGGACAAAATTTCAGTTCTATGGTTTTCCTTGTATAACCTGAAAATAGTCCTATCATAATGTATATTCTAATCTTAGAATAAGCTTCAATTAGAAAACTTTTTTTTTGCCCTTTCTTGATCTGTCACTCCTATTATTAGCCTCCCGAGTCAACTTACATGCTTAGCCTTACGAGCATTATAAACAAGGGCCTATATACCTGAGTATTTTCCACAGTAAAAAGATAATGCCAGAAAAGCAAAACATAAATGTATGTGGCATCTACTTCATAAAGTTCATTTACTGGCAACAAAGAAGTGAATTTTGGGTGTCATTAGTAAGTCATGGTGTGTCTACCATAGGCACATAGTTAAGTGTGATCAGTATCTAACGTTTTTTTCTCCTGGGTGATTAATAGTTCCTGGCTCCCC